ATACAATATTATGATAATAAATAAATATAGTATTAATAAAAAATATATTATATTGATAAAAAAAATAGTTTTATAATATTGTTTTAAGAAATGTAACGTGTATCCATGAAACACTTACTGTTAATAAAATTTTGACCTACTTTAATAAAACTAAATTTTATGACAAATATTTCAGAATTTATTAATTTGTAGTAAAACTAGATTTTCTGGTTCAGTCGTCTTATCTCATATTCACGCGGCACTAGAGCAATTTGTGTCAATGTGAATAATATGCCGCGATGAAGGACTCAATAGTTGTAAAATGACATTAATGATCAATGACCTGGAATGGAAAGCTTTCCTGTAATTTGTTGCACATATAGAGCAGAATTACTCATTATTTTTCAACTACGTGAAAACAGACTTGCAGTAATTTAAACAACGATTGATTTTGGTATATTAAAATATTGAATTTAAATTTTTACATACTTATTATTCAAATTTACATTTTAATATCGTATATATATTTGACATCAAATTTAAGTTTCGATATGAAATTGAAATTTTAATACGTAATATAAAGTATAATATTAATATAAATTTTTAAAATTTAATACATATTTAATCTTGTTTTCAAATTTTATTTTATTATTTAACCCTCTCATGAATAAGCGTTTCGACAGCCTTAAAACAATTTTCCATTTAACTTACTAACTCCACCATGACTCATATCTGGAATAAATGTTTGTCCTAAATATCGCATATATAGCTAAATTATTTTCTAATCTCACTGATGTAATCTTAAAATTTTCTTCTTACACGTATATCATATTTTTTGCACGATATTATTTTCACAAATTTTTCAGCTGTATATGTACGACCGTTAGAAGCCAAAATGTTTTCCTGTGGGAATAAATTGTTCGTTAAAAGAAATCGATCAATTTATAGTATTTACCTTATACGTCTCGTCAACTACTTCAACTGGTTGCTTTGACAGAAAATCATACTCAGGTTCTGCAAGATTGTTCTTAACGATGATAACTTCGTCCTTCGATTTTACGTGGATTTGCGAAGACACTACAGGATTTTTCGTTGTTACCTGTACGTGAGGTTTCGGTTCCTGTAACACATATATTAGATGCAATAAGCGCAAAATTTATGCAAATAACTGCCAACGTTCATATACACTTTTATTACCACATTTAATAAGTAGAATACACGAAGTATTACACGTTCTTGCCTCAAGAACAAGCTCAGGGTAATAACATGATTTTTCATTGCCTTTTTGGTTTTTCTTCATTTTCGGAGTATAGCGAAATCCTTTTATGTAACAAATGTAATTTGATTTAATATTTTTAAATATTATAATAGACAAATTTTTTATTTTCAGATAATTGTTTCAGAGTAGAAAAAAATTTCTCTTTTATTTGTAGTTGAAAATAAACAGTTATTCCAATTATACATTAACTTATCCAATATTCAAGCTTGTAAATTAAAAAAAAAAAGAAACAAAATTAATAATGTATTAAACATTTAATGAAAATATTACTAACTCACAAGATTTTGGTCTTGACGTGTTTCACCTTTGTCTCAAAGTTCTTCTATATGAACGGTGACATACGTTATATTTCTACAACTATATAAAATAAATGTCATTTATTTCTTTCATTATGAAATAATGTATAAATTAATATATCATTTCATCTGAAGTAATCTAAAAAATAAAAAGGTTACATAAAAAGACCCCAATGTACTCCCACATTGCAACAAGCATTTCAATCTGTAGTTTCTATTAAATATTGTATAATTAAGAATATATAATACATATAAAATACAATTATAAAATATATAACTTATTTTTCATTTTTAATACCATACTACCATATAGAATTCAATTCTCCAAATTGGATATCGTATAAAAAATAAATAAGTGACTAACAATACTATTCAACGCAAATTTTAATCTGTATTATCCATTGGGTAATTCTTATAGAGTTTGCTTTCCTGAATACGAATCCGTAATCGAAAATGCTGCATCACTCTCAGTTTTCGGAAAATGTGAGTTTTTATAAAAACGTACGATTTTTTGATCAAATGAAGTATTAATTAAAAAGTAAGATCAGAGGGTTCATTCTTACTTGATACGTTAGATTACACTATCCCGAGTTTATCAATGTCTATAATTATAATTATTTGTGCTTCTGAATAATTATAATTGGTCATAAAAGTTTAAACATAAGCCGCCTTCTACGCACTTTTGTATTTTTACAAAATGTTCTTTAAATGAGAACCCCACATACCCATAGCGCGCTTCTCTAGACTCGACAGTACTGTAGCTACGCATGATCCCAGTACCAAGCGCATATATATCTTTCTTGTTTTTACAATGTTATTTATTCATCGTTTTGATCTTCATTTGAGATTTTTTTACTGTACACATTTTAAACAATCAATAACATATTAGTTAATAACTAAGATATTATAAGTGAAAACAAACTGATAAAATTAATAGTAAATATTGTTTATGTATAATTATTATATGTTCTTTTATGTTATTGTAAAAGTAGCAAGGTATTAAAAAAAAAATGTATAAAATGTGCAGAAAAATATGCTACATAGTACGAATAGTGGTACTAAATAAATTTAATACACCCACAATACAATCCGTTGATACGGCACTAATAACGTCGATAAGGTAGACAAGGACAGAATTCGAGCGCCTTCGATCAGCGCCATCTATGATTTTGGACCAGATGATCAGAAAAGTAATAGGAATGTAGAATGAGCAAGGAGGTCGTCCACACCTGGTCATGTGAGAGACAAGGACGGAAAGCGGATAGAAAAGGATAGAATGGACTCGGCAGGGAAAAATCACAAATTACCAAGTTTCTGTAATTAATCTACGAACTTTTATAATTACATTGTGAAGCGGAAACTATTGGCAACATTCTAATGTAAAATTCGACAGCAATTTGTTGCTAATTAGCTTGCTATTAATAATTATTTTATGGCGTTCATGATTTCGTAACATTGACCGGGATAATCTTTCGAGAAAATATTAAATAATGAATAAATCTAGAAATAAAATGTGAACAAAAGTTATATGAGAAGATGCCCAAGGATATTCTCTTCATTATGTGTCCATCTAATTCATAAATTGACTACGCAGAAAATAGTAATTAATGAAAAACCAATGGCTTCTTCGACAACAATTCAAACACTCGGTAGGATAATAATTAATAATTAATTAATTAGGGACAAATTTATATCAAAAGTTATATTAGAAAGTTCGCCAAGGCTGCGCCTTTACGATGAAATTATAAAAGTTCATAAATTAATTGCAGAAATTGAATAACTTGTTAATTTTCTAATACCGAAAGAATACTCAAACGATAACAGTTCAAGGTTCCAGTCAAAACTCATAGATGGCGCTGATCAAAAGCGCTTCAATTTGAATCGGTTACCAACTTTGGTTATATGCTTTTGACACATCCTATTATTGGACAGTAATTGTATAATGGATATTTTCGACTGTAAATGGCGAATGAATCTGTACCTGGAGAAAATGACGAAATATTGAGGGAATAATGAAAACAAAGGATACCTAGGGTGAGTAATGTAAAAGGGAATGTGTCTGGGTTGTGCATATTGAGCAAAAAAAATAAATCAATAGGTTACGTACTGTCAACAGAATGTAGACCACGCGTTTGAGAAAGGAGAAAATTGGAAATATCAATAAATGAAAGGATGCAGATGTATGTCATATTTAGAAATTTAGAATGCTGTAGTCTCAAAGTTTGTATAGACATATAATGAAAGAATCAAGAAATGTAGAAATGTGTAAACGGGATTAGTTAACAAACAATGTGTAAGTATAAAATCTGATAATTTCAACCATAGGGGACGTATTATTAATTAATGTACCAACCTGTATGTCAAGTCATGAAATATGGATAAAATTAAGCAATATCTATGAGACGAATAAAAAACGGCAAAGATATTCTGTTACAGAGGAATTTTTCATACATAAATCTAAATTTGAACATGATATGGTAATCCACATTGCATTGCTGACAGGTAAGTTTTCAAATTACATGCATTAAGACGTAAAATAGAATAAACAATGCTTATAACTAAAATCTTATGTATGTTTCTAGAATGTGTATTTGCAAATGCATGGGAGTTAATGCAGAAAGAAGAAAAGGAAATAGATAATCACAAAACTGAACTGACTGCCAAGGAAGCAAAGGGAGAAGCAGATCTATAGCCTTCAAACCTTAGGAGAAGAGATGTTTCAAGTACAATTCCGCTAGACATCTTGCATGTGCATATTGGTAAAGCAACAAAGGTAACAAAGAAATTAAATGTTACACTTGTGGCAGATTGGAATAAAAATCAGTAAAATTTCTAGGATTAAGAAGAAAAGACAAGGCTTAAGAAGTATACTCTCCACATGAGACATATAAGAAGTCCAATTATTTATTTGGTAAAAATCATTTGGACTGTTATTTTGGAAACATAAAGGAAAGAAAAGGAGATCAAGATAAAAAAAAAAAACACGTGCTTCTTGACAGAGAATGATGGAACAAAATAATGGATTTTGGACTCCAAGACAACTAGCCATATGGTTAAACTAGAATATTTTAAAAACAGGAAGAAATAGGAGTGGAGTTTGGATCAGTGTAAAGAAATATTTCCATGGAAGCTAGAGCGAAGTTTAGAATAGAGCCAGATACTTGAATATTGTTTGTGTGTTCCACACTTGAGACAGAATTTATTGTCAGTAAATCTGATAACTTGAGATGGTGGTGAAGTAATGTTCAAGGAAAATGAAGTAATAGTTCATAAGAATCAAGAAGAAATATTCGTAGGGAAGATGTATAATAATGGACTTTATACCAGTAGAGAGGAACAAGAAGCTGGTAGAGAGGCACAGAAAATTGGGGAATCTATGTATAGGGAAGATGAAAGAGTTGTCCACGAAAGTATTGAAAATGAAATTAACGAAAAGAGTAGTAAAGACAAGAATTGGAGAATGCAGGATATTTTTGTGAAGCAAAGCAATCGAAGATTCCACTTAGAGGGACAAGAACATGATTGAAAAGCTAGTTGGAGACAAAATATTCTGATTTATGTAAGCTTATACAGCCAGAGGCATAGGACAGGAATAGGTATGTGATTGACAGTCTTAGATTTTACTAATTTTGTGAGGATTTTTCTTATGGAATCAAATACTTAGCATTATTGAGATTGTAAAAGTATGTTGCAGCAGCAGAAGTAAAGTGGAACACAGACTTATATGCGATAATGGAAGCAGGAAGGTTTATCAATCAAGAATTCAAGAATTGGTGCAGACAGACAATAATTATACTAGATTACACGACACTGTGCACACCTAAACTGAATGGAAAGACTTCATCATTCATTATTTATTGAATAAGATATAAGCACTCCTGTATGACTGGAATGGAAAAGAAAATGTGGGTGGAAGCTGTGTATTTTGCAGTTTATCTGCAGAATGAAAGTTTTGCAAAAGCAATGAATACAACTGCATATGGAAAGTGAGTAGGAGAAAGATCTCTCATATAAATTATGCAATTTTGAAGAAACTAATACTTTTTGTTTGCAGATTCATTTGAAGAAAAGTAAACTCTGCTAGAATTATCTAATGAATATTACAGATTAGGATTTGTATTGACAATGTAATTAAATAAAGGATACAGCATAATCTATGTACTACTGAAGAATATGGTTCAGTTTGACACTAGAATTACTAAAAAGGTCAAAAGTATAAAATAAATAAGTATATATAATTACCTTCTTATCTGAATGAAATGTAAACTAACTATTTTCAGAAGCAAATATATATTTACAATAATAAAATAAATATGTATAATTACTTTCCTATCTGAATGAAATGTGAACTAACTATTGTCAGAAGCAAATATATATTTACAATGATTTATGCATCTATAAATTTTTCCTTAATTAATTAATTATTAATCATTATTGCACAGAGGATGCGAACTCATACAGAAGATGCAATTGGTTTTCCATTAATTACTAATTTCTATGCAATTAATTCATGAATTACAAGCACATATGATAGAAACAATATAA